TGCTGCTACTACTGCTGCTTGTGCTGCTGCTGCTGCTACTGCTGCTACTGCTGCTGCTGCTGCTGCTACTACTGCTGCTTGTGCTGCTGCTGCTTGTGCTGCTGCTGCTGCTGCTACTGCTGCTGCTGCTGCTGCTACTACTGCTGCTTGTGCTGCTGCTGCTTGTGCTGCTGCTGCTGCTGCTACTGCTGCTGCTGCTGCTGCTACTACTGCTGCTTGTGCTGCTGCTGCTTGTGCTGCTGCTGCTGCTGCTACTGCTGCTGCTGCTGCTGCTACTACTGCTGCTGCTACTGTTACTGGCGGTGGTGGTGCTGCTACTGCTGCTGCTGCTGCTACTGTTACTGGCGGTGGTGGTGGTGCTACTGCTGCTGCTACTACTGCTACTGGTGGTGGTGGTGGTGGTGCTACTGCTGCTGCTGCATCAGCGGGACAGACTACGCCACTCCACACATACACACGCACGCACGCACGCACGCACGCACGCACGCACGCACGCACGCTCGCTCGCACGCACACACAGCGCGCGCGTGCCGCCGTCATGCTGCCTGCCCGCTCTCTAATGGCGCGTAATGTGTTCCGTAACGCCGCATCGTTTGCTGTAAGTGCAGCGCGCCGCGGCAAATGACGGGAGAAGTCTCCGCCATCTGATTAGCCGTATAGCGGCCGGCGACGTCTGTCGTCTGCGCTGCTTCCCGCTGGCAAGGCGCAGCGCAGGAAGCCAACGTCGCGCTTCATCGTCTGAAACGCGAGCGACCGACCGACCGCGGGATGTATGGCATGTAGCGCATGTGTGTGTGTGTGGGGGAGGGGGGGGGCGTGTGAACTTACACGTGCGTGCATGCGTGCGTGCGTGTGTGTACACGTGCGTGTGTGTGTGCGTGTGCAGGTAGACGTTCGTACGTTCGTGTGCACGCACACGTGCGTGCCTGCGTGCGTGTGCACGTACACGTGCGTGCGTGCGTGCGTGTATGTATGCCCGTGTTTGTGTGTATGTAGCATGTGCTTCGCAGCTTCCTGCTCCTCGTTCACTTCGCAGCACTCTCAGAAACGCGCGAGATCGAGAGTGTGAAGCTAAGCGAGCTGCGTGTTGTGCGTGATATCGTGTTTGCTTAGAGCTGCTGGTTGGATAAACTGTGATCATATCAATCATATCCTAGTGGCAGATAGATAAGGCAAACACTATACCTGTAAATCTGGCAGCGTCGGTTGCTGATATTTGCATGAACGCTTGTATGTGCGTGTAGTCAGAGGGTGTGCGTTCTGCGTGTGAGATCTGGAATGGTGGCTATAATGGTGGACAGACGTCGTGGAGTTGGGAGACGTGACGAAGACATAACTGCTGTGTTTCTACAGGGACACACATACCGGGATCACACGCATTCTTCTACCCTTCCGTGTATCTATCTATCTATCTCTCTTTCTCTTCTCTTCTCTCTCTCTCTTTCTCTATATAATATATATGTATATGTATATATGCAGGGGTTGATACAAAACATTGTATGCCATATATTCTACCGCACACATGAATAATATTTGATAGTAAATTCAATAGACTGTGTTTTGCTTCCTTCTTGGGTGATATACGTAATAGTGGGGCGGATATGTGTCTGAGGTGTGCACTTCTGGAAAGAAGCATGAAAATTTGCTCTAGGGGGGTTTTGAGTAT